GGACACGGGAAGACAGTGGAGGCTCACGCTACTACTGGGCCCCCACTGGGGTCAGCTAGTGAGACTGGGACAGGTGCTGCGAGCAGTGTGATTGTGGTGCAATCACGAAAGAAGCAACGTGACGCTCCCGAGTCAAGTGTGAAAGTGTGCAAGTCCTTAGCTGAGGCAAGACTAGTGGCGGTAGACGCACTAGCACCTAGAGCTGCAGCAGACTCACTAGCACCTAGAGCGGCAACAGACTCACTAGCACCTAGAGCAGCAGCCTCTACACAACCAGGGACGCCTCGTTGAGAAACACAGTCGGGTAGCCGCTGCAAGGAGAATGTCTCCTACTGACCCTGTTGCCGCAGCTGTCCAGTACCCATAAAACCATAACCTCCACCACCTTGACGGCTGCACTGAACGATCCACTCACGAATCTGCTATGGCGAGTGAGTGTTTGAGTGCGCGAGCTGCCACTGCTGTCCAGCACCTTAGGCACTTCCAGCACGATATCCTCCACCACAAGGACGGCCTGGCTGAATAACCCACTCGCGGAGCTACTACGGTGATATAGTGCCCGGGTGAAGCAGCGGCTGCTGTTGTACACCCCTAGACAATGCTACGACCGTGATAGTGGCTATGATAGGCAGTGGCAGTCAGTAGCAATGGCGGAAGGGCGGTAGTAGCGACTGCTATTGCTGCAGCTGTAGCAGTAGCGGTGGTCGCTGTGGCTGTAACAGCAGTGGCTACTGTTGGAGTGGCTGTGGAGGCTGGTAGGGTGCGTGGGCAGCAGGGCACGAGCTAGCGGAGTAACACTGTCAGTGGCAGCAGTAGCGCAGGCGGCAGCAGTAGCTCAACAGCAGCAGCAGCACATGTGGCAGCAGCAGCCTAGCAGCAGCAGCAGTAGCAGCAGTAGCAGCAGGGCGGCCTGGTGGGGCTGGGCAATGCTGCAGGGCGGCGCGGCTCCGCAGAGCTGGGCGGCGCAGCTCGGGCTGGACTGCGCGGCGAGATAGGGCAGGGCGCAGCAGCAGAAGCGCTTGCAGCAGCAGCAGCAGTAGCAATGAACTTAGCAGCAGCAGCCGTGCACTTAGCAGCAGCAGCAGCAGCAGCAGTAGTAGCGCTTAGCAGAAGCAGCACGCTTAGCAGTAGTTGCGTAGGTGGGAGAAGCAGTAGCGCGCACGGGCAGGGCAGGGCAAGGTGCGCACGTGGCGCGCGGGCAGGGCGCAGGCCGGACACAGGCAGTTGGCGGGCAGCGCGAGCAGCGCGCTGGACAGCAGGTGCGCGGGCTGCATAGCAGGGCGGCGCGCGGGCCTCAGGGCAGGGCAGCGCGGCTCGCGAGCTGCAGGGCAGGCAGCGCGTGAGCCTAAGGGCAGGGCAGCGCGGCCTCAGCAGGTCTTAGCGCAGCTGCAGTGGCGCGTGTTGCAGCAGCAGTAGCAACAGCAGCAGCGCATGCAGCAGCAGTAGTAGCAGCAGCAGCAGCGGCAGTAGCGCATGCAGCAGTAGCAGCTGCGTAAGTGACAGCACCAGCAGCGCGTAGCAGCGCGGACGGGCAGGGCGCAGGCACGGTGCGCGTGGGTGCGTGCGGGTTACACGTGGGGTGCGCACGGGCAGGGTGCAGGCCGAGCGCAGGCTGCTGGCGGGAAGCGCGAGCGGGCAGGGGCGCAGGGGCCCAAGCGGGCAGGCAGAGCACGCGGGATGGGGCGCAGGCTCGCGGGCGGGCAATGCGCTAGGCAGTAGGCAGCGCGCGTGCAGGGAGGCAGCGCGCTTGCAGCAGGCAGCGTGCTTGCAGCACGCAGCGCCCAGGTCGCGCGCTAGGCAGCAAGCGGGTAGCGCGACGGGGAGGGCAGGGCAGAACAGACAAGGAGGCGGAATTTTAACGGTGGGCCCTTTAAAATCCAGTTCCTAAGGTCTAGGAACGGCCTAGTCTCTGAAACCATGTTAGAATCTAGTACCGTATGGCCCCGGATATAGGCGCCGGCCTATTAGAGGCGCCGGCGCTTCTATCTGGAGCATGGCGCTTATGGCCGATCCTCGATTATAAGCGCCCCCCGTTTTGTACCCTTCCTTATTATAAGCGCCAGGAACATTTTAAAAAACTACTTTTATATCACAACAAAATCAAACAGCATCGTTCGGTTCAAGATCTTCTACAGGTAAGTACACAGCTTTCCACTAGTTGCACTATTCTACCTAGTTGAAGCGCTTAACTACCTACTCCTCGTCAGACTCGGCCTCCTGGCAGTTGTTGCCAAAGAAGCCGTCGGCGACGATGCAGTCGTCTACATCTACTTCCGCCGTCAGCTGGCTCCGCCTGTGCGCCATGGCGAGGTGGTCCTCGCTGCCGTCAAGGGCGTTGCTAATGCCGCAGGTGAGAAAGGCGCGCTTGATGAGCTCGGAGGGTACTGCTTTCCAGGCCCTTGAAATCCAGCGAAGGACCACTTCAAGGGGGGCTTCTTCAGATTCCCTGCACAACAGAGACACCCGGAAAGCCGTGTCAGCATCCAACAGTTTAAGGTTTAGTTAACCTGCGTGAATAACGGAATCAACGAACGGTACGGTACCTGCTGCTGTCAGCTGCTCTTGGCCCTCCTCCTCAAACCACTTCTGGTACTGCTGACGAACTGAAGCTTTGAAGCTCTTGTTGATGGAGACGTTGAGCGGTTGAACCTCAGCAGTACAGCCAGACGGGATGACTGCAGGCACGCAGTTGATCTCGCGGAGCTTCTCCTTCACCCCATCGGTAAGGTGGCCGCGGTAGGAATCCAGGACGAGCATGGCGCTCCTCGCACTCCTGCCGAACCGGGGCTTCAAGAAGGGCTTCACTTCCTTTTCAATCTAGCGGATGACGCCGTCGGCGTTCATCCAACCGTTCTCGTGGCAAGCCACGACCACATCTGCACACACAAGAACCACTTAAACTGTTAGCGCGACTCGAGAAACAGAAACATGCGGTAACACACCGGCAGTTGCTGCTTCTTACCTCGTGGGAAGTCGCCCTTCGGCAGAGTCTTCCTCTTGAAAAACACCCACGGCTTGAGTTTAACGCCGTCCGCGGAGCACGCCAGCATGACGGTCACCCGCTCCTTCTGGTAACCTGCACTCCTGATAAGCACCGACCGTACGCCAGTCTGATCCACGGTCCTGGTGGCAGGCATCTCGAGCCAAAGTGGCGTCTGGTCCGTGTTTATGATCCAGGTTGTCTCGATGCCGCGCGCGCGACACATGTCCCGGACAAAACGCCAGAAGTTCTGGCACTGCTGCGCAACATCTGTTAGACGGGGGACAACGGCGGGCGGTATAGAGGGCAGGTTAGTAAGGGAGGGAAACACTTAGACGCAACAGTAAAAACAAACGGCGTAATCTTACGGTCGGCTGTCTTCTGAGCAACGCGAGTCTTCATGCGTACGCTCAGATTCCACCGCTTCCGGAAGCGCTCCGACCATCTCTGACTCCCGCTCCACTTAACGTCCGGGTTGAGAATCTTCATGAACTCTCTCGACCACTCCCGCAGACGGCCGACCGACACGGCGGTTCCTCTGCGGCGCCAGTCCAGAAGCCGCTCGTACACCTTGATCTCCATGGGGCGGTACCACGAGGCCCGCCCGCGACCGTGCATGCGCATGCGTCCGGTGTGTGCTTCTTTGAGAAAAGCTGCAGCCGCCTTCCAGTTAGCGAGACACTTCCGGTGAATCCCACTTGCCCGAGCCAGTGCGCGCACTGACTTCGCCGCATCCAGCATCGCGACGTACTTCAACTTCTCTGCAGCGGTGTAGCCGTTGCGCTTGCGCTCGCTGATCTTGTGCCTGGGAGAGGGGGGGCGGGCATCACGGTTCTGGGTAGACGGGTGGGGTCGCTTGCGGTTAGCTGGTGGTAAGGAAGGTATCGGAAGTTCCTCGGGGAGCCCGTCACGTGACCAGTATTCGACACCGTCGTCGTCGTCGCCACCAGGTACACCCTCTGGAAAAACATCCTCTGCGCTTCCACCCTGCGCGCCAGCTTCCGCAGGCTCGTCGCTGTCAGCAGGGCTCGCTTCCTCGTCCTCAGGCACGTCGTCGTCAGCTCCGATTGCAGATTCGTCCCACGTGCTGCAATCCTCCGACCGACCCCAGCGTGGTCCACTGTAAGGTTCGCCGGGTACCTCAACATCAGGGGCCGTGTCGCTTGGTGGTCCCTCCAGCCACTCGTCGAACGCAGTCGGGTGCAGGAGCGTGAGCACGGGCGGTTCCCGTGTGTGTAGAGGAGATTCCAGAGTAGGAGGGGACGGAGGAACAGGAGGAGCAGGAGGCGCAGGCGGCAAAGGAGGAGCAGGAGGAGCAGGCGGCGATGGAGGCGACGGAGGCTGTGGTGGCTCTAGTGGTTCAGCAGGGACACGGGAGTACCATCCGTCGGCGTCGACTACGAAGGCGGGCCTACGCTGGGGCTTTTTCTTGAACAAGAAATGAGTGCCACTGAATTTCGCCATGGCTTCCGCAGCATGGCGGGTGAGAACAAGAATCTGAATGAAGAAAGTGAAAGAGAAGGAGTAGAAATGAGGGTTTGGAGGGGACCCCTTCTCGTGTGCGCCTCCAGTTCCTCTTCATGCATAGGAAGATTCCCCCCTGACTAAACCCGCAGAGGAGGGAATCGCGGCACGTATCTGCTGCGTTGGCAGGCAGATTCCACCCCCTTCTCGAACGTTCGGGTGAAATGCGCCACCCTGGCAGCGCATGTAAACCCGATTGGGCCGCACGGCAGGATGCACGTCATCGCTGGCCGGTGCGTTGCACTGGGACGGCCTTTGTGCGGTGGGAAATCGTGTCGCGACTGTTTTCGGCGCGTTTCCATGCACGAGCCCACCTGCACAGTGCATGGTCGTGTTCGCCTTATTGAGGGCTTCAGTTTCGTGCCTTAAAAACTAAAAAACAATTTTGACATTATATACCGTAATCCCCCGTATATAAGACCCCCCCCAGTTGTGGACCCCCGGGTCTTTAATACGGCACCGGGTACTCTATTCGAGCACTTTTGAGTTATACCCCCTAAATGGCCCCTAACATTATAAGACCCCCCCACATCCTAGAGAAGTGTGGATTTCACAAAAAAAACAGTTGAAAGTGGTCATTATCCATGTTGAAAGAGAAGTCGCAACCATGAACGCACATGCACACCCACATTAACATCCTACTCCTGTCCCGCAACCCAAGTCTCGGCCTCCTCCCCATCATATCGCCCTTCCGCCCACCACTCATCGCCATCATCCTCCCATCCCGCTCACCCTCCACCTCCGCACCGCCTTGCTCCTTGCCCTCCTCATCCTCCTCCTCATCCGTGTCCCCCTCTTCCTCGTCCTCCTCGTCCTCCACCACCTCCTCCTCCTCCTGCTCCTCCTCCTCCTCCTCCTCCTCCTCCTCCTCCTCCTCCTCCTCCTCCTCCTCCTCCTCCTCCTCCTCCCCCTCCTCCTCCTCCTCCTCCTCCTCAGATGTCGAGGAGGCTTCAGCGCTGTTCTTGCTCGCAGGGGCGGCAGGATCAGGGTAGAAAGGGTTGGGGACGAGCTCGTCGAGCTCCTCCTCGCACACATCCTCCAGCACCTCCACCTCCCCCTTATCGCGGAGGTGAGCGAGGATCAGATGATCCTCGCTCCCGTCGACGGCGGTGGAGATGCCGCAGGTCACGAAGGACTTCTTGACAAAATAGTAGGTGTGGGGCCTAGGCTTAGTAGCCTAGGCCCACACTAGGAGGTAGTTGAGTTTGCTCTAGACTAGGAGTTAGGGTTTTGGAAGGAGAATTGGAAGGAAGGAATGAGACTAGCAAGCAGCAGGACACACAAATAGAAAACCCTAAAGGGTTGTACTCAGTATTGAGCACCCCACTGCAGGCTACACAAATAACATTCTGACACACCCCCATAGCCAAAGTGGGGTGTAATCAGCAGAGCAGGCAAAGCAGTACAAGCTCAGGGTGGATCACAATGTCACCACACATTCTGAGCACAAGTTAAAGAAGCAATAGTTTAAAGTTAAGAATTATGAGCAAAGCTAGTGGTAGTCACAACGGGCAAGTGAGGAGGAGGAGAGAGAGTGAGGGGAGAGGAGATAGGAGGAGACGGCTGAAGCTGCAGACACACGGGCAACAGGAAACAGACTGGCACAACGGCTACCGGACAGCGCCCGGACTACAGGAGTAACAGGCCCCGCGGCTCAAGTAGCGGCAGACGGGCAACGGACCCACGGGCGGCTGGCGTAGAAGTCTAGCTCACTAGGCTACCGGGACAGCGCCCCGGACTACAGGTGCTGCGGACTACAGTACGGCAACTTCCATGCAGCTTCCCCAAACAGTCCCACCCCCCTGACACACACCCGCTGCTACACCGCTAGCTCCACTCCCACGCACCCCCCTTAAGCCCTAAACCCCAGTCTCCCACACAACCACCCCCCTCAGCGACAGCTGCAGCAGTGGGAGACGAAGGAGGAGGAGCAAAGGGAGGAATGCACACCAGCCACCCCCATACCCGCAAACGGGGGGGGGGGGGGGGGGAGAGCAGAAACAGTGCGCACGAGGGCGCGAGCATGAGGCACGAGCAGCACCAGGCACAAGCAGCACAGGCACGGGCGGCACAGGGCAGCACAGGCACGGGCAGCATAGGCACGGGCAGCACAGGCACGGGCAGCACAGGCACGGGCAGCACAGGGCAGCACAGGCACGGGCAGCAACAGGCACAGGCAGCACAAGCACGGGCAGCACAGGCACGGGCAGCACAGGCACGGGCAGCACAGGCACGGGCAGCACAGGCACGGGCAGCACAGGCACAGGCAGCAACAGGCACAGACAGCACAAGCACGGGCAGTACAGGCACAGGCAGCACAGGCACGGGCAGCACAGGCACGGGCAGCACAGGGCAACACAGGCACTGGCAGCAACAGGCACAGGCAGCACAAGCACGGGCAGCACAGGCACGGGCAGCAACAGGCACAGGCAGCACAGGCACGGGCAGCACAGGTACGGGCAGCACAGGCACGGGCAGCACAGGGCAGCACAGGCACGGGCAGCAACAGGCACAGGCAGCACAGGCACGGGCAGCACAGGCACGGGCAGCACAGGCACGGGCAGCACAGGCACGGGCAGCACAGGCACGGGCAGCACAGGGCAGCACAGGCACGGGCAGCAACAGGCACAGGCAGCACAGGCACGGGCAGCACAGGCACGGGCAGCACAGGCACGGGCAGCACAGGCACAGGCAGCAACAGGCACAGACAGCACAGGGCAGCACAGGCACGGGCAGCAACAGGCACAGGCAGCACAAGCACAAGCAGCAACAGGCACAGGCAGCACAGAGCGTACCGGGTCCAGGGGCGGCTTCTGGGGTCCAGGGGCGGCTGCTGCAGGGGCTGCTGCTCCAGGGGCCAGGGGCGGCTCCTGCACGGGCGGCTGCTCCAGGGACCAGGGGCAGCTGCTGCCGCAGGCTCTGGCGGCGGCTGCTGCTGCAGGCTCGGTGGCGGCAGCTGCAGCAGGCCTGGCGGCGCCTGCTGCTGCAGGTTCAGCGGCGGCTGCTGCTGCAGGCTCTGGCGGCGGCTGCTGCTGCAGACTCTGGCGGCGGCTGCTGCTGCAGGCTCTGGCGGCGGCTGCTGCTGCAGGGGTGGCCGTTGCAGGGGCTGCTGCTACGGTGGCGGTTCCAGGGGGTGCTGCTGCAGGCTCTGGCGGAAGCTGCTGCTGCTGGGCGACGGCGGCTGCTGCTGCAGAGCGGCGGCGGCTGCTGCTGCTGGTAGAGCGGCGGCCGCTGCTGCAGAGCGGCGGCTGCTGCTGCTGCAGGCGCGGTGGCGGCAGCTGCTGCAGGCCTGGCGGCGGCTGCTGCTGCTGGGTGGCGGCGGCCGCTGCTGTAGGCTCTGGCGGCGCCCCGCGGGTCCTGCACGGACGCCGCGACGAGCAGGGGCGACGCCCCGCAGGTCCCGCACGGACGTCGCGACAAGTAGGGCGGCGCCGCGCGGGTCCCGCACGGATGTCGCGACGAGCAGGGGCGACGCCCCGCGGGTCCCGCACGGACGTCGCGACGAGCAGGGGCGACGCCCCGCGGGTCCCGTAGGGTCGTCGCGACGAGTAGGGGCGACGCCCCGCGGGTCCCGCGCGGGCGTCGTGACGAGCAGCGGGGAGGGCAGCGCGCAAGCCCCCCCGAGGGCGCTCGGAGCGCGTGGCGGGAAGAAAATGCAGAGCCGCGCGCCACGGGGCGCGCGGCGGACAGTAGGGCAGCGGAAGACGTTGGTGGGCCCGTTAAGCTAGGCGGCAGGAACATGCTCGCTCTAGATACCATGACAAAATAGTAGGTGTGGAGCCTAGGCTTAGTAGCCTAGGCCCACACTAGGAGGTAGTTGAGTTTGCTCTAGACTAGGAGTTAGGGTTTTGGAAGGAGAATTGGAAGGAAGGAATGAGACTAGCAAGCAGCAGGACACACAAATAGAAAACCCTAAAGGGTTGTACTCAGTATTGAGCACCCCACTTCAGGCTACACAAATAACATTCTGACACTTCTTGACCAGTTCAAGAGGCACATCAGCCCATGACTCCGCAATCCAGCAGAGAACCTTCTCTGGAGGAGGTTTCTTCAAATTCCCTGCGGGAAATGGGGCGGGTAGGGGCAGACGTGAGTCACCAGTCGGTCAAGGCACACATTGAAACAGGGACAACGCTCATGCTCACCTTCAGGGGTGAAAGAATCAATCCCCTCATCCTGGAACCACGTTGAGTAGCGGTGGCGAACCCCGGCTTTGAAGCTGCGATTCACCGACACGTCCAGGGGTTGCACCAGCGAGGTGCAACCGCCAGGGATCACCGCGCGCGTGAGCTTGAACAGCTTCATTGTCTGGCCGACTGCTTCCGTGGTGTGCCCTCGGTAGGAGTCGAAGATGAGGAGCGCATCCTTGCGCTGCCCGTCCTTTTCGCGGTGCGGCTTCAGGAAGGGGACGAGAACCTTCGTTGTCCAATCTTGGACAAGGCTCTCGTCCATCCAGCCCTTTTCTTGGGCCTGCACAACAATTCCTGCACAAGAAACAAAGAAACGTTGGCGGTTTCCTTCAGCACATCCCAGCAGAGCATTCGGTAAGTCCCAACTCACCACGGGGTATGGGGATCTTCGGCAAGGTCTTCCGCTTGAAGACTACATACGGAGGGAGCTTCAAGCCGTCCGCGGTCACCGCCAGCATGACCGTCACACGCTGCTTCTCGTACCCCGCGGTGCGCACGTGCACGGTCCGAGCGCCTTTCATATCGAGGGTGCGCTCGGCAGGCATCTCAAGGAACAGGGGTGTGTGATCCGCGTTCACGATCAGGTTGAGGGGGTAGGAGTTGAGCACGCGCATCTGCCTCACGAATTCCCAGAAGGACTCGCACTTCTCCTTGCAATCTGCATCGCACGGGATAAGGGGGAGTCAGGCCAGGTGGATAGGTACGACTTTACTGCGGGAAACATCGGGTAGGGCGAGGTCATCGTACCTGCAGCGAGCTTCTGCCCGATCTTTGTCTTCACGCGCCGCGCCAGGGACCACCGCCTGCGGAACCTCTTTGTCCAGCGGCTGGACGAAGACCACTTCTTCTGGGGGTGGCGATGCTTCATGTAGGTCGCCGCCCAACTCTGCAGCAGACCTATCGAAATCGGCAGGCCTTTCCCACGGTGGAACAGGAACTTGCGGTAGACCGCAACCTCCATATCGGGGTACTTGGGCTTTCGTCCCGCACCAGTGAGACGTTGGCGACACCCTGCAGCTTTGTCGAGCCGCTCCTTCATGCTGCGCCACTCGCGGATCTGCTTCGGCTGGACGTCGGCGAGCCTAGCCAAACCCCGGACGCTCATAGGTGTGTGAAACTATGAGCAGAGGAATGAATTGACTAAGTCAGAGTTGGGTACAAATACAACCCTAGCAAACTGTACCCCATATGTGCTACCCCACTATAGCCTACAAACATGCATCAGCTATAATAATCTGACACACCCCCATAGGCAAAGTGGGGGAGAACAAGGGGTCACAAGACCAGTCAAGCAAAGCAAAACAAGCTCAGGGTGGATCACAAAGTCACCACACAGTCCGAGCACAAGAGCAAGGCCAGAGGCCAGTTCACATGCAGGAGTAAAGACATATATATAAAACTAGACAAGCAAGAGCAGGTATATATATGTCAAAGTACAAGTAAAGTCAAGAAGAGAGCAAGTGAGGCAAGACAGGTACAAGACCCAGCTGGGTACAAAAGCGCTGATGGTCGCAAGGCGCAAGTGCCTTGGTGAACACATCAGCAGTGTTGGCCTCAGAGGCCACGTAAGCAAGTCGCAACTGACCACGCTGCTGCAGCTCACGAGCAAGGAAGTAGCGGAGAGCAATGTGCTTCGTTCTGTGCTCCAAGCGCTGCTCTCGACACAAGGCCAACATGGCCTTGTTGTCTACGTACAGCACTGGAGGAGAACGAGGCAGCTCTCCAAGGTCAGTCAGCAGGTAGGTGAGCCAGCGAAGCTCCTGTGCAGCCATGGCCCCGGCGTAGATCTCAGCCTCACAACTGGAGCCGAGAACCGAAGACGAGCGAGTAGACCGCCACGAGACAGAGCCGGAACCAAGGCTGAAGGTGTAACCCTGTGACGACCGCTGCGTAGCCTGGTCGTCAGCCCAAGAAGCGTCTGCGTGCCCAGTAAGGACCACTGGACTCCGCCCTCCAAGCACTAGCCCCATGCCCGACGTACTGCACAGGTAGCGCAATACCCTCTTCGCTGCAGCCATGTGCTCTGGTCGGTGTCTCCCAGGAGCAACATAGCGTGCAAGGATGCTCAGAGGGTATGCAAGGTCAGGTCGAGTGCAGGTCATCAGGTACATGAGGCAGCCAACAAGCTCTGCATACGGACCACTCGACTCTACGGACTCATCCGAAGGCAGAGCTGAGAGTGAGTGGCGAGTAGGCAGAGGAGTGGCCTGAGGCGAGGAGTACGTGAAGCCGAAGCGCTGAAGGACCTGCTGCACCATGTGTGACTGAGTCAGGGTAATGGTGCGGCGTGCTCTGTCCCGAGTGATCTGCAAGCCAAGGTAGCTGCGCAGTTCACCCAGGTCTGTGCACGTGTGTCTCTTCAGCAGCTCGGACTTCACGTAGGCGAGTCCAGCAGTGTCCGCTGTGGCAAAGACCAAGTCGTCGACGTACACGAGGATGTAGAACGGCGGCAGGGAAGTGTCGGTGCGAAGAAACAGCGACGGGTCAGCAGTAGAAGGAGCAAACCCAAGAGCCGCAAGCGTAGTCCTCAGTGTGTCGTGCCACTCACGCGGTGCCTGGCGGAGACCGTAGACTGGCCGTCGGAGGCTCCACTGGGTACCAGGAGGGAAAGTCCCAGTGAAGCCAGGCGGACGGCGCAGCCAGATCTCCTCGTGCAGGCTACCCTGCAGGAACGCAGTGCTGAAGTCGAGAGAGTGAAGCTCGTAGTCGCGCTGAGCGGCAATGTGCAGCAGCACCCGAAGAGTGGTCATCTTCGGGGTGGGAGAGAAGGTCTGAAAGTAGTCAACTCCCTGCCGCTGATTGAAGCCACGAGCCACGTAACGCGCCTTGAAGACAGGCGGCGAGCCCGGCGGCCGCTTCACCCTGAAGATCCACATGCCACTGACGATGTTCGCCCCAGGAGGGGGAACCGCGTCAACGTAGGTGCCTGTGGACTTCCAGGAAGCCATCTCTGCATCCATAGCTGCCTGCCACTGAGAGGAGTAGGGACCCTCTACGGCCTCCGCGTAAGAACGCGGAGTCGGGATGTCTAGTGCATCCGGGTCTCCCTCAGGGGCTAGCAGTACAGACGCGAGACGAGGTGAAGCAGCGGCTAGACACTGGAACTCCTCCTGCCTGTCCTCTAGGACGTCCGTGCCAAGGGCACACTCACCCCCGACGGACGGAGGACAGGCGGACTCAGACTCAGCGACAAGACGAGCAGCGTAGTCTAGACGACAGCGCGCAGCAAAGTCGACAAGCTCAGTGACAAGGGCAGACGCAGCAGACGACTCGAAGGAAGGGTCAGTGACAGCAGTAGCAAGGAGACGCGTGACAGTAGGACTGGCAGCACGAAGAGAGTCCGACTCCGGGTCGGCAAGAGCAGGAAGAGAGGAAGCAGGAGGAGAAGGCAAAGGGGCACGCAGAGGAGCAGTGGACGGACGCAGTGACATCCGGTGCGTGCCAGGGACAGGAGGAGGACGCTGACGCGACCCGCGACCACTAGCGCGCTCAGTACGAACAGGCGACGCAGGACGAGACGCAGGCTCACGACGCTCAGTAAGACCTCCAGTCGGACCAGCGTAGGGAGAAGGAGCAGGCAAAGGGGAGGCAGGCTGTAGCTGTGGCTGTGACCGGACAGGCTGCGGACCCTCTAAGGAAGGAGGAGGAGGTGTAAGACCAAGAACCTGCTGCAGGAGCGGAACGAAGTACGGTCGGGGCCGCGCGGCGACGCCAGAAACAGCAGGAACAGCACCAGCACCCCCGGCAGGAGCACCCACTCCAGCAGCACCTCCAGCAGAACCACCAGAAGCTCCAGAACCTCCAGCAGCAGCACCAGGAGCACCGTCAGTCGGACCACCAACCGCAGGCTCAGCGCCAACGTCCTCAGCAGGACCAGCTCCAGGAGAACACTCAGACCCAGCAGCTCCAGCACCCACAGGACGAGCACCGCCAGGTCGCGTGGCAGCAGCGCCCTCCGCAGCCGAAGAACCACCAGCACCAGCGGCACGCCTCCAGCGCCGGGCAAACCACTCACGCAGCTCTAGTGGAGAGAGCGGCTCCCGGTGAGACGAAGCACCCCCAGGCACAGCACCTCCAGGCTCGGCACCTCCCGGCTCAGCACCCCCAGGCTCAGTACCTCCAGACACAGCACCCCCAGGCACAGTACCCCCAGGCTCAGCACCCCCAGGCTCAGCACCCCCAGACTCCGCACCCCCAGGCTCAGCACCCCTAGACTCCGCACCCCCAGGCTCAGCTCCCGCAGCAGCACCGGAGTCACCAGGGACCTCGACAGGCTCGACCGCGTCTACCTGAGACACACCTGAAGGGGCAGGACCCTGAGGGGGGAGGGGGACTACTGGGGGGGGACCTGGTACCAAGAAGAGGGGGGGTGGGGGGAGGGACGGAGTGCGGTAGGGGAAGAGGCGGTAGTAGGGTACCGACTCGTCGAACGTGACGTCCTGGGAGGACAGAACACGTCGAGAGGTGGGGTGGTAAAACTGCCACCCAGGGGCGTCGGGGGGGAACCCGAGGAAGACGCAGGGAGAAGCACGAGGGGACAGCTTGTCCGCAGACAGGTCGCGAACAAACGCCCGAGATCCCCAGACCCGGAACGCCGACGCATCGCCAACCTTCCCCGTCCACAACAGAGCTGGGGAGGTCTCCGGTCGAGAGACCCTGGGGTGGAGGTTGATCTGGTGCGCAGCGTACCTGACCGCAAACGGCCACAGAAAATGGGGAGCAGCCGCATGCATCATGGACGTACGAGCGACGTCCATGACCATGCCAATGCGGCGCTCAGCGATCCCATTCTGCTGTGGTGAGTCCGGAAGCGTGAAGGTCTGACGGATGCCTCGCACACGACAGTAGGTACTCAGGAGGGCCGAGGAGAACTCTCCGCCTCTGTCCGAGTGCAGACGCAAGACAGGGAAGTCAGAGCCAAAGCTTCTCCGAAGCTGAAGACGAGCTGCGCGGATCCAGTCGATCAACACCTGAGTGACCTCACCCTTGCTGCGCAAGGGGAAGACTGTGGTGTAACGCGAGTAGTCGTCAACCACTAGCAGGAAGTAGCGCTCCTGACCCTGTCCACGGACGCGGGCTGGGCCCCACACGTCCATGTGAAGCGTCTGCAACGGGGCCTCTGTCGGAGGAAACTGGGAGGAGTGAGGGGCAGCACGCTGGCGCCCCTCGACACAGGGGACACAGGCAGGGCCAGGGCCCGGAGGAAGGGGAGGGAGGGACCGGGGAAGACCAGACACAAGGACCCGCGAGGCCATGCCTCTGAGCCGAAGCAGAGAGGGGTGGCCAAGGCGGTGGTGCCAGAGGAGGGTCTCGTGAGACAGACGACGACACGAACAAGGGGCAGACTCAGGACCAGACCTGGACGCTGCAGCAAACACCTGACCAGACGAAGGGGCTCTACCAGACGCAGTACCTGGAGGAGAAGCAGTGGTCAGTGTGTACAGGCTCGATCCCGGCCGACGTGTAAACGTAGCCAGGTGGCGACCTGTATCCGCCTCCGTACAGTGGGTCACCCGCTGACGAGCAGGGGTGAACTGGTGGACACCTGCATCCTGGAGGTCAGCACCACTCACCAAGTTCGTCGAGAACGAGGGGAGGTAGAGACCAGTCAGGGTGCCAGAGGGGGCCGCCGGACACGGGAGGACAGTGGAGAAGCGAGACAGGACAGGCCCCCCAGAGGGGTCCGCCAGGGACACCGCAACCGGCCGACTCAGCGGCGTGAGAGTGGTGCGGTCCCTAAAGAAGGAGCGAGACGCTCCAGAGTCAAGGGTGAAGGTGTGAGAGGCCGAAGCCGACACAGTATCTGAGAGGGCGGACTCACCAGTACCTGAAAGCACAGACGCACTGGCACCTAGAGCAGCAGCTGCACAAGTACCTGACGCGGCAGTACCAATGCCCGGGTCGGGCGGGAAACACCGGTAACAGTCATCCTCATCACTACCAGTCACAGCATACATAGCAGAGAGAATAGCATCAAAATCAAGATCATAAATAGCTACACCAGCCCTAGACAGCTCTCCCCAGCGGGGGATCTCAGCGGCCTCCGGAAACTGCTGACGCCAGGCGTCGGTCAGGCGGCCAAAGCAGCGACGGGCTGTGTGGGCG